ATCCCAGTGATGATGGGAAACATGAAATAAAAGTGTTATGGTCCACTTTGGCCTGGGCAAAAAAAGTGAGACCCTATCTCTAGAATAACCAGAGCAAAAAGGGCTGGGGGTGGTAGAGCACCTGCTTACCCTGAAACCCTGAGTTCAAATCCCAGTACCGCAAAAAAAAAAAAAAAAAAAAAAAAGCTGAATAATACATTTTCTTTGTAATACCACATATTGTTTATTCTTTGACCTCTTCCATATAATTAAGATAGATAGGAAGCTTTTATTATATTTGTAGCAGGTTTTTTTATTATAAAATTTTTTATTAGGCTATATTCATTATATGGAGGGGGGATTCATAGTGACAATTCCAGTTAGGCTTGTATTGTACATTTGTTAGATCATCCCCATTGTCTCTCCCCCTCAACTCCCTCCCCACCCCTGTTAAAGCAGTCATAAGCGGCTTCTTTGTTCAAATCTATTAACCGTATACCCTTACCCTAATCTTCTTCATTCACCCTCTACGCTGCCATTACTATCCCCCTAATGTACCTATTTTATAGTCCTGTCTTTATTAATATTTAAGTTGATGTTCAAAGGGGTGTCTCAATGTGTCCCCACTGTGTGTATACTTTACTTTGGTCCATTCAACCCCTTCCATTATTCTCCCTTACTCCTTTACCTCCCAACCCCCATTTTTCAACAGCTTTCAATGTATATCCTATATCCTCTACCTTCACAGATGTTATATTTTGTAATATTACTAATGCTGTCATACTCTTTTTCCTTTCCCTCTTTCCCCAAGTTCCATAGAGTAGTTCCACTGTTACAAACATGTTCCGCATCTGAGTTTGTATATGATCATGTTTGGTTTTGTGTTTATCTTTTGGGTCTGTCTTCCATGTATGAGAGAAAACCTGTGGCCTTTGTCGTTCTGAACCTGGCTGGCTTCACTTTAACATGGTGTCCTCCAATTGCATCCATTCACCTTTACACCACATGTCATTATTCCTAATGGCTGAGTAAAACTCCATTGTGTATATAAATCCACATTTTCTTGATGCATTCATCAGTTGTAGGGCACTTGGTTTGTTTCTGTAGCTTAGCGATTGTGAATAGTGCTGCAGTGAACATTGGTGTACGGGTGTCTCTGTTGTATCCTGTTCCTTTGGGTAGATGCCCAGGAGCGGTATTGCTGGATCATATGGCAGTTCTATCTTTAGTTTGTTTTTGCCTTTTTTGGTTATTTTGTTTGGGCGTCTTTAAATTTTCATGTAGTAAAACCAGTTACCTCTGATGCATGTAACTGAACATTCCTCTATCTGAGTGGATTATTACTTGGCACAGAATCTAAACCCAGAGACAGTGTAGGGAGCCAAGATGAACCTTGTTCTTGTTACCGTCTTTTTCTAAGGCTCCTTTTTTGCTTCATATCAGACAGGCACTCTTGACTGGCAGGCAAGAGCATTTCCTCCTTCCCTTTCCACTTTTCACTTCTTTCTGACCCTGCTCTCTTGTATTTTCCCCTCTGAGTGCTGCATTTTTAAAGTCAGCTTACATGTCAAGGTGAGGAACATTACAGGTCTCCTTAATGTATATTATTTCTTTTGATACAGCACTATTGGCAATTTGATTATTGAGTTGTTGAGCCCTTCCTATGTGTCCAGCCCTGTTGTTTGTATTTAGAAGTATTGACTCATTTACTTAATCCTCCTAGAGCCCTCTGAGGTAGGTAATGTTATTAGGTCCCTTTTTCAGATTGGCAGGAAGGACCTTAAGAGATACATAGTAGTGAATTCTGTTGGCCTCTGCAGCTATTGTTCATGGGCTTAAGTGAAGGAAATCTAAAGCGATGCTCACTGTCATTTACAGCGCTGACTATGTTCTGGTCACTTTACCAGTGCTAGCAAATTTAATCTTCAGCTCCTTGAGGTAGGCACATTAAAATAAGTTACGTGTTGTTAAATGACTTTTAAATCCTTCATTAGGGTCAGTTTGTGAACATGACTTCATTGTTTTCTCTCCTACCTTTTATGGTTACTTCCAGTCTACCTGCAGGGATTGTTGATTCTCACTGCAGTGACTAAGGCTTGCATGGCACAGCTTGCTTGAGCTTTGCACCAGCTGTTGCCCTAGTGTCTTAACTAAGGGACCTGGCTAGCTGGTGGACAGATATGCTGGTTTGTTGGAAGAGTGATAACATACACAGCCAAGAGCAAAAAAAGGTGCTGAGGGTTCTCCAGCAAGGGCGTCCCCACCTCTTTCTGGCACCCAGCTGCAGAGGAAGCCATCCCAGCTGGCTTTAGCTAGCAGATGTTCATCTTCCAGAGGTGATGGACGGTGTGTGGGGACACAAGTTTACACAAATAGCAACCAAATATACACACACCTTTTTTATTTTAATACTTTTCTGTTCAAATTGTTAAAATGTATGTACTATACATATATTTTAACTTACTGTATTAGCCATTTTAAGTATATAGTTCCTTAATGTGAACTATAGTCACATTGTTTTGTTGTGTAACAGAGCCTAGGATCTTTTCTTTTTGGAAAACAAATTCTATGCTTATTGAAAAACAGCTCTCCATTCCCTATAACACCTTATGCTTTATTTCATTCATTCAAGACAGGGTCACGCTGTGTGGTCTAGGCTGGCCTTGAACTCTTGATCCTCCTGCCTCAGCCTCCTGAGTGCTGGGATTACAGACATGCACCACCATACCTGGCACTTTTTTAGTTCTAAACAATATATTTTGGTTGTGTGCTTGCTAGAGCACAAGGCCCTGAGTTCAAACCCCAGTGTTGACAAAAAAACCCCCAAAAACAAAAAGATATTTATGTATATATATTAATATATGTATATATATATCAATATATCTACATCTATCTGTCTGTCTATCTGTTGATTCTATGATAGGAGGACATCAGTGTCTTTCTGCTCTTTCCTCTCTGTGTACACCTTCCAACTTGGTGTTATTTCTACTGTTAAAATTTATAACATTTACATTGTGTTCTGTAATTCTCAGAAAAGAAGACTGTGTGGCCCTACATCTTAAATGAAGCCTTTGCTTGCTTTCAGGCTGTGTCATGCTTTTGACATTTTTGGTGGACAAGGTTTGTCCTGATGGTTACTTCAGAAGGGCTCATGGGGACCAAGTCCCCCAGGTTCAGACATGTTTAAAGGAACTTTGGTTTTGCACCTTACTTGATTAATAGTGTGGGCGGATGTGGATTCTTGGGTTGTCTCCTCTTGCTGTGAAGACTCTGTAAGTATGGTCCCATGCGCCCCAGTGTTAAAAGTGTTAAAAGTAGCTGTGTTAAAGTCTGAGGCTGGCTTTTCTTTTCCTACATAAGGTGTTGTTAGTCTGCTCTGCTGCCATGACAAAATACCACAGACTAGGTGACTTAAACAAGAGAAACTTATTTTCTCACAATTCTGGAGGCTGCAAGTCCAAGATCAAGAAGGTGCTGTCAAGGTTGGTTCCTGGTGAGGGCTCTCTTTCTGGCTTTTAGATGGCCACTTTCTTGCTGTCTCCTCACATGGCCTCTTCTCTGTGCTAACATACATCCTCTCCCCTCCCCTCCCCTCCCCTCTTTACCCCTAGTCCCATATGACTTCATTTAACTATAATCATCTCCTTAAAAGCCCTGTCTCTAAATATAGTTACTTGGGGCTCAGTTCAGTCTAGAATAAAGGGTAATGTGAACTTTTTGCTAAAAGGTCCTGAAAATTTTTTTTCAGTACTGGGATTTGAATACATGGCCACTCTACCAGCCCTTTTTTTTTTTTTTTCCTTTTTGATGAGTTTTTTTGAGATAGGGTCTTTTGAACTATTAGCCCGGGCTGGCTTTGAACCATGATCCTCAAGTTCTCTGCCTCCTTAGTAGCTAGGATTATAGGTGTGAGCCAGAATTTTTAATGTTTTTTATTTTTGGCACTTTAAATATGAGATGTAGATCTTTATTTTGACATGGAAAAATGTTCTTAGCATATTGCCAAATGACAAAACGTAAGTTCATTTACTTTTTATATTTCTCTTACCTTGTGATTTCCTCTTATTTGATAATGACTGTTGTTTTAAAACAGATCTTTGACTTGGGGAATGTCTCTCAGAGTTTTCATCAGTTTTATTTTTATATTTTTGTAGGTACAAGTTGCATATTCCCTCTTTGAAATGCTTAGAACCAGAAATGTTTTCAGATTTTAGATTTTTTACAAAATTTTTGGAACATTTGCACATATGTGTTTTTTGTCTGCTATTTGTTTTTTCCTACCCCTTCCCCACCTTCCCCCATGCTAGAGATTGAACCCAGGGCCTCATGCATCTACGTAAGTGCTCTTCCGCTGAACTACATTCCCTGTCCTCTCTTTTTCTTTTAGTATATTAAATGATCATTGGCTGCTGTCTTCATGTTCTCTACTTATGTTTGAATGAGGAGAATTCTTCCTGGACTTCACTGGACCTGGGAGGTCCAGTGTTTGGGGGACACTGCTTCTGCCTGGACTCTTGCCATCCCTGGATGGTAGCATTTGGCTCAACCCAGCTTCCTGTGCTGTTCTGGGTGTTGGGTGGGGGAGTTTGGCTGCTGCTCACGTTTCTCCTTTGGGTCTCGGTGGAGAACTCATTTGCCTGAGTTTTAGTCACTGGTACTCACTTCTGGTGTCTTCAATGACTGTGGTTTTACTGCTCTTGGCAGCCAGGGTCAGGGGTACTCAGTTTCAAGGTGTTAAATTACTGAAAACTGAGTCTTCTTTTCTGTGACTTGTTCCTGTTTGGGCCCTATTGACCAATGTAGAATGAAGCCTTCATTCAGGTAGGTCTTCACTCTGCCACTTTGAAGATTTTAAGACCCACAGTCAGATTTCTTTAATCACCTTAGGGGTCCTCTGTAAGAAATAGGGAGTTGTATAATATGCTGGCTATGTATGATGCCTCCAGGTTAGCCTTTCTTACAACTGTGACGTAATTGCATGAACTTAGGTGAACGCTAAATACAATGAATGTTTCTTACAGACGGAACCTCCACTGAATACTCCAGAAAATAGAGAATATCTTGCAGAAATTATGTTTGAATCATTTAATGTTCCAGGACTCTACATTGCAGTTCAGGTAAAAAATAGTTTTGTGATTTTCAAAGACCCATAGCTGTCTAGCAGGGGATGAAATGGTAATGGCAAAGGTTCTCAGGGTTGGGGGTGTGGCTCAAGTGTTAGTGCATCTGCCCAGCAGGTACAAAGGCCCTGAGTTCATACCACAGTACTGCCAGGGAAAAAACAAAAAGGTTCTCTGTTGTAAGATTGTGCTGTGTGTTCTTCCTCAGTGTACACACCTCCACATGCTGGAGAGACCGGCCCATGTCTTTTATATTATATCACCAGTACACACTTGTGTGGCTCTGCTTTTTTCATGCAAAGATTAGAGTGTTTTTCTCTGGGTGACAAGACAGAATTGTACATGTGGTTCTCTTTCTAGCTTCTTCCACTTCAGATAAAAAACAAAACATACATACTGTACAGTCTGTTGAGGTCCCTGTGTGGATTCGACCTCTTATTAGTCTGAGTGTGCTCCCTTGTTTCTGAGAGACCAGAGTCTCCAGGAGCCTGCAGAAATCCTTTTGGAGTCCTTGTTCTCTGCATGAGGTCTTATTGTTGCCTTTGCTTCTATGTCTGCCACCTTACACAAAGACAAACACTGAAGTTTTAGGGAGTAAATGAGGTAGGCATTCCCCTAATTTTCTCTGTAATACTATTCCCTTCTAAGGAAATGGAAGAGCTCCACAGAGAAATCAATTTCGGGGCTGTGGTGTACTGTGCTCTGCAGTTTCCTTGTGATGATTCAATGTGCCTGTTGGATAGTAAAGTCTTTGAGAGCTCCTGTTAATTCCAGCACTTTCAAATTTATTTAATAAGTCTTCTACCCCCAAAATAGCTATGTTCGGTAGAATAGGGAGACACTTTAGAAAATGGGGCTGATGGTTCTCAGAGTGGTCTGTGCTTCTTAAAAAGAGTACACATTCTTGGGCTCTGTCTTAGAGCAGTGTTTTCCAGCCTCTTTGCTTTGTGTGTGCCCTGTGCAGTGCAGTGTGCCTAGCAGCAGCCTGGCCTCCCTCCCCACTCTCCACTGGCAGCCCACCACAGCCTCCCCTCATCGATAGTCGTTGCAGTAGATGCTGCCCTGAGCAGCAGAGTTGTCCCTGGCTGAGAGCCAGCATCCTACACCTGCCAGGTTAGAATTTGTGGCTGGGAGGCCTAGTCACCTACACTGTAAACAACTCCACGAGTGAATTTATTGCAGTTTTCTGTGGCCCCACATAGAAAGTCTGTGGATTAGACATTAAAATCTTCTGATTCTATAAGGAAATTCTTTTTCACTGGCTTTTCTCTGTAAAACTTTAGAAGTCTTTATTGAAAACCTGACTCTTGCATTTTAAATACATGAAGCTTGCATGTTAGTTGTGCAAATTGGGTTTGAAATTTTGGAGAAGGGAGTTAGAGAATAGGGAAAGGAAAGAGTTTCTCAAACTAAGTAAGAAAGAGTTTATTGATTGAACCTCTGTAGCAGGCTGACTGCCTGAGAGCAGGTTCCCATGGGCTAATGGTTCCCGTGTCTTCTCTCTAGGCAGTGCTCGCTCTAGCAGCCTCTTGGACGTCTCGACAAGTTGGTGAGCGCACGCTAACTGGGATAGTCATTGACAGTGGCGATGGAGTCACCCACGTTATCCCTGTGGTAAGCACAGTGCTTCCTAGTTCATTCCCAATCCGAGATAAGGAGAGAAACTGAAAAAGCAAAACAAAACCCAACACCTTCTGTAATTAAAATACCACTTCCTAAGTTGGTGTGTTTTGAAAAGATAACAGGAATTTAAGAACATAGGAATGTAAGGAGTGCAAAAGACAGCCAACATTTGTGGCTTTGGCACTTTTATAATCATGGTAGCAAATTTTGTAGTCCTCTCTGCAGTCAGATTATCAGTGGCTGGGATTTCAGGGCCTCTGCTTCGTTTCCATGGGAATGTGTCCGGCTGACAGTCTGAGCAGTGGGGAGACTTGTCATTTGATGTCAGATTTGCAGGAGCAGTGTGTCCATTTGAAGATTGTGTCCTGGGAAGAGATGAATGGCTTTAATCAGTTCATGCTTTAGAGAGTCTTCTCTTGTTTTTAAAATTTATTTAAGGGCCAAAAAGGAAAGATTAAATATTTTGACTTGCAGAAAGCTCTGCAGTACCACCTTTTGGTTTTAATTTTTTTAAATGTTAGAGAAGTGATTCCTAATTCAGATTTTAGGAGACCTTTTTGGTCCCTAATGGATTATTTGGATTATAAAATTTTTTATTTTTTTTGAAAATTAACTAGTCATCCAGTTAAAAGTCAAACTCATTCCTGATCTTCCTGTCAGGTCTCCTCCATGTATTTGACAGATATATTTTCTGCGTATATTGGGGTGTGTATACACCTTCTTTGAAAAATGCACAGTAGTTGATCCTGACACTCTGGTACCTGCTATAATCCCAGCACTTCGGAGGCTGAGACAGGAGCATCATAAGTTTGAGAACAGCCTGAGCTACACAGCAAGACTATTTTCAAAACAACAAAAAAAAATTCATTTATTTTAATTGAAGAACACAGTCCCCGTTCATTTCAGTAAATTGAAGGAATGAAGTGGCCTAGCAGCACTTTAACACGCCAGTAGTCAGAAACTAAAAGCACTGTGGTGGAAAGGCTTAGTGGTTGACATACCACAGTCAGAAGGAAAACCCCCAGCTCTCCCACCTCCACGCGCCTGCCAGTGTGGCCTCTGCATGGGAGGCATGGATACTTCTCCTTGCAAGTGGGCGCTCCACTTGAGTCCAGTCCCAGGATGCTGGTGTTCTGTGGGTGGCTGGGAAGTATTGATGCCACTTGATAAGGAAATTAAGGCCTCTGGCTTTCTTTTTGACATGGTGTCCTTAAATAGCACTGTAGACTGAGATCCAGGATGAGAGGCTTTGGGCACTGGGAACTGCTTTTCTTTGGGTTTTTTTGGGAGGGGGGGTGTGGGTGGGTGGGACTGGGGTTTGAACTCAGGGCTTCATGCTTGCAAATCAGGCATTCTAATGCTTGAGCAACACATCCAGCAGTCCATTTTGCTCTGGTTATTTTGAAGATGGGGATTTCACAAACTATTTGCCAAGGCTGGCCTCAAACTGTAGTCCTCTCAATCTCAGCCTCCCGAGTAGCTAGGATACAGGTGTGAGCCACTGGTGCCCAGCATTTTTTCAAGACAAGGTTTTGTTGAGTAGGCAGACTGACCTCAAATTTGCAACCCTCCTGCATCAGCCTCTTGTGTGCTGGGATTACAGGTGTGTGCCACCATACCTGGCTCTCTTGGGTTCTTCATCATGCTCATATCTCTGATTTGGGAAAAGAAAACACATTTCACAAGGTGTTCTGGACCACGGATAAACTTGTTTTTAAATTCTAAATTAATTTCATTTCTTTCTCCAATTATAAAAATTACATTTATTAACCAGGCTCTGGTAACTCATGCCTGTAATCCTAGCTACTTGGGAGGCTGAGATTAGGGAGATTATGATTCAAGGCCAGCCCTTGCAGGTAGTTCTTGAGACTCCATCTCCAAAATATTCAGAGTAAAATGGGTTGGAGGAATGGCTCAAGTGGTAGAGCGCTTACTTTGCAACCATGAAGCCCTGAGTTCATACTCCATTCCCACCAAAAAAAAAATTTGTTGTTAATAAAATAGAAAACTGTAAGAAAATGCAATTGTCCATAAACCCACTCAGAGAATTCCATTATACTTTTAGTTATGTAGCCTTTCAAGCTTTCTCTTAGACACAAATGTGTATACACAATGAACACACATACACATTTTAAGCAAAAATTGGAGTATCCTAGTCTAATTTGTATTCTAAATACATAATATCTTAAAATTATATTTTTCATTTTAATTTAATCATCCTCCTTTTCTCTTATGGCTAAATACTCTGTGAAAATATAACAACTATGTGATAACCTGCCATGTGGGCACAGAATTGACTCACCTTTCTCTATCCTTGTGTTGGGTGTAGTGTTTTAATATTGTAATGTTATGATGAAGCTGATACTTGTTTAACACTGCTTCAGTTTATTTCAGAGAATGGTATGTATGATACTTAGAATGTAGGTGTGAGTAGTTTGTGTTGCAGGAAGCTGATATGTTATTATTTTAATAACATATGTATCTTTTATCTCCCTCTTAAAATATTTTACAAATACTTGAGCCCTACAGAAAGGCCAAATCTTCTTTTGCATCTAGAAGCTACGTGCATCAGGGAAAAGCATGGGAGGAGTTCAGACCATGGTCCTTGCAGCTCCACTGGTGACCCCATGTAGTGATTCATGTCAGTGCACCTGCAGCATGGAGGCAGCGGCTCATCTCCACACTCCTCTGTCTCTGTGAAGTGCTGCAGTGTGAAGCCTGACTGTGGCACTGTTCGCTCTGACAAGCAGTGCTTCCCCACTTGCACCCCTGCAAACAAGCTGGACAGGTGGCCAAGCCAGTGCTGCTGTGAGCCATGTGACTTTTGGCCCCTGCCCTGCTAGTGATGGACTGCAGACAGAGCCATTGTGGTTCCTTTCTTGGCCCCTTGCTGACATGCCTTCACTGGCTAAGGAAAGCAATGGAGAGAATCCAAACTCTTGAGCCATGCCACTCTTCAGATGGTGCATCCATTGCTTCACTTACCAAAGTTGTTTCTCAGTATGATAAATGGGACCGTTCGTTGAGTTGAGTGGTTAGTGTGTGCCATATAACAGTACTGCCTGCTTGGCATACAGGAGTTTACTTATTTACTGTCAATGCCCTTGGGTAGCATCTACCCCAGACTGTGTGTGAGGGTACTGAGAACATGCAGCCGACAAACGTGGAACCAGGATTTAAGTCCAGGTTGTTAGAATTCAGTCCTGTATGTTCATCACATCGTGGACTTTCCTATGAGTAGATTTGTAATTGGTTTAATAACTTATAAAGATAAAGCTTTCTTCTTTTTGTTGAGAAAAAATTTCTTAGATTTACTGTTCTTTTGAAAATTAACTATTCTGAGTAGTTTTCCTCTACTTTCCTAATTAAAGCATCATTTTGGTTGCTTAGGGAGCCTCTGGATATTGGAGTAACTGAGAATTTGAAATATTAATGGAAAACTGCATATGCAGTCATTTAGAAAGACCTCCTGCACTGCGCTTGCACAGAATGGGAGCCAGAGGGACAGGCGGGAGGGTAAGGCTGCAAAACTCCCAGGTCTAGAGGGCTGTGGCCTGCAGGTTACTGATGTGGACTCTTCTGCCTCCTCTTCTCCAGGCAGAAGGTTATGTAATTGGAAGCTGCATCAAACACATCCCGATTGCAGGTAGAGATATTACGTATTTCATTCAACAGCTGCTAAGGGAGAGGGAGGTGGGAATCCCTCCTGAGCAGTCGCTGGAGACCGCAAAAGCCATTAAGGTAAAAACAGGTGGGAACCTGGCTGGTTTGGGGGTGAGAGAGAGATGGTGCTTGGAAACTTCCCTTAATGCCATCCTCCCTATTCCTGCCTTCCCTCTTCTCCTTCCCGCGAGTATGGGCTTTGATTTGTTGACCATGAGTTAAGTGGGCTGAGCCAGCAGTGTGTGCAGTGCCTAATTAGACAGAACCTGTAATTAGCTGAGTGCAGCTTCCAGCCTCTCTTTGTGCTTCAGTTTGGAATCATGAGGCAAATCACAGCAGCCACAGTGACTGTGGGGAATCCAGTGGAGGATCCCTGTGCTTGTGCACTGAGAATACACCTCAAGACCCATGCTGTTCTAGGAGCCAGAATCATTAAACAAAACACCTGTACTTCTAGACTCTAGTTACTACACTAGAAAAGTTATAGGAAGTTTTGGAACTTACTAAACTTAGAAGAAAAGTGACTCATTTAGAAAGTCTCCTTGACCCAGTCCATTAGTCTTCCTATTACTGTGTGCCTCACAATTCCAGATCCTTTAAAGGAATTCTTCTCAGGTTGCAAAATCAAGACATATTTAAAAAAAATCTAAATGCAAGAGATCCGGAAAACTCCATGGTTCATTATTATACAGATGCAGAACACAGCATTTTGTTTTGAGGAATTTGAGTGTGGAGTGCAGGATGGTCTCAAGCATGTCCTTCACGTACTTCACAGATTTTTGAGCTGTAAGGGAGTTGGGGCGGGGTGGGGGGTTGGGGTGAGTTTTAAAGCCTCACTCTCACTGGTTGTTTCCTCCCATTCAAGCCCCTTGTAACAGGCTGGTTGAATGATGGGAAGCACCAGGTAATGTTTTCCAAGTTTTGATTGACACCAGGTGAAAACAGGTATTTTGAGTATGCTGGCAAGTACGCAGCAGGCTCTTGCAAGTAGGGTACCATCTGCCCTGGAGCTGGAGTTTGTAGGATGGGGTTTCTCTCAGTGCTAAAATGATAAAGTCCTGGGCAAATGGGGGAGAGTTTTCCAGAGCCTGTGGTAAGACCTTTTTTGGGGACTAAAATATTCCCAAAGTTTTTCTCCTCCTCTTCTTTGCCTTTCTTCAATGGAAGAAAACTTGGATATTTGATTCAGGCATTCTTGCTTCTCCAAGTCCATTACAAGTACGAATCAAAATCGAACCTCTTGCTTGGCTGATGTCACTCTGGGAGTTTAGTGTTCCTTTCTGTGTCAGGATTCCTGACTGGATAACTGATGAAGTAGCTTTCCTGAACCTCATGCTAGTTTCTACTTTGTGTGCTAGCTTTCTCAGTTCCAATTCTGACCCTATTGTCTGAGTGGCACATTCAGGTTTTGACTACCACATACCTGTGAAGGTTGGAGGTGGAAGAGACTCCTTCCATAGATTGTAAATCAGCTGCCCTGCCCAGTGTATGGTCAGCCTTGTCAGCCCTCACCTCACTTCTGCCTTCAAAGGATGAGATCCTGGAAGAGTGGCTTCAAATTAACCTATCTCAGGTCACTGCTGAGACTTCCTGAAGTTAGGAGCAGGTCTGAGAGGTAGGAAGTAGGAAGGAGAATACACTATCCTCGCACTGTGAATCTGGAGCCTTAATATTACCACTGTTAACCCGCACCCATCTTTACAGAAGCATTTCATGTCACCAATTAAGTGAGTGAGATGCTAAAGGACCTTGATCTGACAAAGACTCAGTGTTTTTGTCTCTAGTCTTACAGGCCTAGAGTTGTACTGACTGACACACTCGCCATCTCTACATTGTTAGGTTCTCACTCTGCAGACTTATAGTTCTGCTAGAGTACATGAGAGATGCCCCGAAGATGGAATTAGAAAGTATTTCAGGGCTTCTAGGAAACTTTTAATTTGAAAACAGCTGTGGAGGTCCTTGGGCAAGCCATTCTTTCCCAGGTGTACAGTGAGCACCTGCTGGATACTGATACTCCTCAGGTGCACAGCAGGACACCAAGCTCTTGCCTGAAGAAACTGGTATGCAGGTGTCACCTGCTGCTTCACTGAGGTCAGTTCTACAACTAGATGGTTAGGACAAAGATCCCAAGAACTTCCGTATTACATGAAACACTTCTTGCATCTCAGCCTGGGTGTTGGTGCCCGCTGGAAACCACTTGCCAGGTCTCTTGTAGCACCCAGGTACTGGTGACTCCAGTCCTCTTGCCTGACTGCTTTTTCTTTGTCCATGGTACCTGTCACCTTAGTATATGCCATGCCATTGATTTATTGTAGTTGTCTAGTGTCAGGCTCTCCGCAAGAGCCTTGTCTTGCAGTGATCTGTGTCTCACTCACTTATGCATCCCCAATGCCAAGACACTCAGTGGATGTGTTGATTGAGTGCTGTAGAAAACCTGACCAACAAGGTGCACTGTCTACAGGTACACAAGGAGCCAGAACACTCCACTCCAGGTGAAGGAGCAGCAGGTGAATAGAGTTCACTCCCTTAGGTGTTAGAGTGGACAGTCACCACCTGAGTAGATTAGGCCAAGTGTGGTTTGCTGACCCAGAGGTGGACAGCTGCAGGTGCATGGCAGGCCCCAGGTAGGGAACCTGAGGGCTCCCCAAAGACTAGACAGGCACCAGCTGATGATTCTTTATAGACACCTTCAGATGTTCTTTCAGACTATATGGCCGCAAAATTTGAGAGACTAAGCCTGAGATTAATAGCCAAGTTGCAGGGGAAGCAGACTTAGCTGCCTAAAGTCCAAGTGTAGTCATGTATAAGGAGAAAGAGATAGACTATGAGGCTTCATAGGACATCCACACTGGAGTTACGGTGTGGGCAGACCTGAATTCAGGGGTGTCTTGAATGCATGGGGTTGCTGTGTGTCTGTCAGAAGGCAAAGACACGAGGCAGTCGTTAATGCTTGGTAACATCTTTCTGTGTGTATGCAGGAGAAGTACTGTTACATTTGCCCTGATATAGTCAAGGAATTTGCCAAGTATGACGTGGGTCCCCGGAAGTGGATCAAACAGTACACGGGCATCAATGCAGTCAGCCAGAAGAAGTTCATTATCGATGTTGGTTATGAGAGGTTCCTGGGACCAGAAATATTTTTCCATCCAGAGGTAAGGTGTTTTTTTCTTCTGAGTGTCTTAGCGCTCAGTGTGTGTGGAGCGATGCTGCCCCCCAGTGTGCACAGGAGCAGTTCTCAGTGACGGCCCAGGAGCAGGTTGGTGGTCTTGCAATGGTGCAGCCCTGTGGGGTCCGTGTGCCTCATTGCCTCACCATGGACTTAACCTCCGTAATATCTAAGAATGGATTATTCCTTGAGAGGTTAGAAAGAAGTTTTAAGAACAATGGAAGATAATGGAATTTAAATTAATCTCAGTGGGTGGTTAATTGAACAACTAATTAATCTCAAGGATTTTATGCAGGTTGCCTCTGCATAAGAGTGGAGTAAAGCATAACCTTTGCAAAGCTCCTATCTGAAGGCTGGCCTTTCTATTATTTAGGCAGTGTACAAGGGCGGGGTGGGGGGAACATGATTTAAGTGGTAAAATGCCTGCCTAGCAAGCACAGGACCTGAGTTCAAACTTCAGTATAGACCAAAAAAAAAGAAGTATGGATAGTGTACAAATTATACATGTTGCCACAAGGAATGATTAGTACATTTGCAAATATTCAGTAATTAAGAGGCAATATTTTAAGTCTTATATACAATGCATTTTATTTGTATTTTGCTATATTTTCCTGCCTAATTCAGTTTATATTTGGTAGGTAGGTTACAAACTGCTGCCTGTTTTTATTTATTAATTATTTATTTATGGTACTAGAGTTTGAACTCAGGGCCTCACACTTGGTAGATAGGCACTTGACCGTTTGAGCCATCCCGTCAGCCCTTGCTGCCTGTTTTTAGGTGCATATATGACCATTTTATACAAGGAAATGAAAAAAAGTATAATGTCACTGATAATCTAATAGTTGTCATCACCTAATAGTAATAATCCTATAGTGATGCTCATGCTTTGCTAGCACTGACACAGGCCAGACATAAAACTGGCAAATGCCAGCAGGTGCTTTCCTTTTTTTTTTTGGTGGGACTGGGGTTTGAACTTGGCTTTTGCTTGCAAAGCAGACACTCTCCCATTTAAGTAACACATCCAGTCCATTTTACTCTGGTTGTTTTGGAGATGGGGTTTTGTGACCTATTTGTTCCTGCTGGCCCTGAACTACAATCATCCTGATCTCCGCCCTTCAGGTAGCTGGGATTAGAGGTGTGGGCCACTGGTGCCTGGCTTTCCTTGGTTTTTCAAATGTAGTTGAGCTTATACTTTATACTTTAGCTTATGAAATTGAACCTATAAGATGCTTCCTCAACATGATTGTTATATGGCTTGTTTTATTTTAAAGCCACCACCATCAATTAAAACCAGCCTAATTAGTCTCTCATTGAGCGTATTTTTCCCTTCTATCCTGGCTAATTTTCTCATGATTTTAACATCACAGCTGACACACTTGTGTGTTTCTCACGGTATTTCACTTAGCTTGGACACATGCTTCCCTCCTTTCTGTTACTGGCGTGAGTCCTTATGTACTCAAGTAGGACTGGCCTGTCCTTCTTCATGAAACCCGCATGTCACTCCAGGCACAGGTGATCAGTCATGGGGTTTCTTTGACATACCTTCATTTCAGAGTCACATGCTTTCATTTATAGTGTATTTGTTGAAGTTACTTTTTAAAAAGAGTTTTTGTTTTGTGATGTTGGAAGGAAATGTATAATGTTTCTTTTATGTTTTTATACAATTTAGTTTGCCAACCCAGACTTTATGGAATCCATCTCGGATGTTGTTGATGAAGTAATACAGAACTGCCCTATAGATGTACGCCGTCCACTGTATAAGGTATAAGCTGCTTGGGTAAGGTACTTTGATTGCATCCCCAAATTAAACACCGGTAGTTCTTAGGTTATTCATATCAGTGTGCAGACTTTCCTCTTTCACCTGTCCTCTGGGATGGAGGAGATGACTTAAATATTTGGAAATATGACACAGCTGGTAGGATTTAATTTAAATATTGTGCTGTCTTTTCTTTTTATTTGGACGTTATAGTTGAAGTTGGACAATTTTAGCCATATGTATCTACTAAAAGATGAAGTAATACCCCTCATGCTTTTTGTGAAGTAGTCTTGTTTCAGCCTGAAATGGAACAAATAGAAAATGCTCATGAAATGATTCTTTGTCTGGAATTCTAAATCTTGGAATGAGAAAAATCTAGTACATGTAATTATGTAATCTTACCAAAATGGTAAGATTTATTTTTATCTTATTGGGAAGAGAATCCTGATGTCAATGTGAACGTTAAGAGGCTTATCGTAGTGAGCGAGTAATGAAGGCATCGATAGAAATGTTCTGTGTTGGCAGATGCACAGATACTAGGTGTGCATCTAAAAAAAAAAATCTTAAACACTCTGCTGGTTAGCAGATACCCTGAGAATACTTACTACTTTTTAACATGTCTGTTAGTACATATTAGTTGTACAGGGGAATTTCACTGAGACACTCCCAAATATGCTTACAATGTACATTGGTTAAGTCCATCCCCACCATCATTCTTTCTCACTCCCCCACCAAATGATTTCACCTAGTTTCATTGTTCTATTTTCATACAAGTATGTAAAGTACATTGACCATATACACTCTCATTCACCCTCCCCACTAGTATCCTTCCCCTAACAGGACCTGTTTGACATTCCTGTCCTTCATTGTTCAGAGGGGTTGCACATTAACCACTACTATTGCTCTCCTTACTGTTTCCCCACCCCCTATTATTCAGGAGCTTTTAAAGCATTTTGTTACACCATCTTCCTACACAGATGTAATGTATTTCAGTATTATTCACCCTCTGTCATTCTCTTTTCTTCTCCCTCCTCTTCCTTGTCTCTTCAGAGTCCCACTATTGCAAACATGTCCCACCCTTTCTCTCTCTCTCTGTATAAATGTATACACAAATACAAACATGATTTGTATATACATTTATTTTTTGTATCTGTCTTCCACATGAGAGATAACACATGACCTTTGTCTTTCTGAACCTGGGTTACTTCACTTAACATGATAATCTCTATAGTTTTATTCATTTACCTGAAAATGACATAATTTCATTTTTTTTGGGGGGGGATGTGAGATTGGGGTTTGAACTGAGGGCATCATGCTTGCAAACCAGGTGCCCTACCACTTGAGCCACTCCTGTTTGTTTTGCTCTAGTTATTTTGGAGATGGGGTCTTGTGAACTGTTTGCCTGGGCTGGCCTTGAAGCATGATCCTCCCAATTGCAGCTGCCAGGTAGCTAGGATTATAGGTGTGAACCACCAGGACCCAATTCAAACTATAGACTGTGGCTCCCTATTTCTTTTAAACCTACTTTATGCATACTTTTTTTTTTTGTGGGATTGGGGTTTGAACTCAGGGCTTCAAACTTGCAAAGCAGGCACTTTCCCGCTTGAGTCACATGTACAGTTCTTATTCTTCTTTATGGCATATGGCACATGCCACATTTCTTAATCTGTTCATCAGTTATAGGACATCTGAACTATTTTCAGAGCTTGGCTGTTGTGAATAGTACTGCAGTAACCATAGGTGTGTAAGTGACTCTGTTGTATCCTGGCTTACTTTCCTTCAGGTGTATGCCTGGAGTGGTATTGCTGGATCTTGTGATAGGCCTATTTTTGAGGCACCTCCCTCCTGCTCACCATAGTGTTACATGAATGTACATTGCATGAGATTCTTTTTCCCTGCATCCTCACCAGTATCTGTTGTCGTTTGTATGACAGCCTTCTAACTGGAGTGAGGTGAAATCTTAATGCCATTTTAACTTGCATTTCCTTTGTGATCAGGGATTCTGAGCATTTCTTCCTTTGAGAACTGTCTATTCAGTTCATTTGCCCATTTACTCATTGGATTGGTGACTCTTTGGGACTTTTGGTTTCTGAGCTCCTATAAATCGTGATAAGTAATTCCTTGTCAGATGCATAGCTGGCAAATCCAACATTGCTCTCTTTTGTTCAGGATTGCGTTGACTATTTGAGGTCTTTTGTGCTTCCATGTGAACTTTAGGATTGACTTTTCTTATTTATTTATTTTTTTTTTGATGGTACTCAGGTTTGAACTCAGACTCTCACACTTGGTAAGCAGGTATTCTAGTACTGGAGCCACTCTTGCGGCCCTGGGATTGATTTTTCCACCTCTGAAGAATGTCATTGGAATTTTGATGGGGATTGCATTGAACATACAGATTGCTTTTAGTAGTATAGCTATTTTTACTAATATTAATTCTGCTGATCCATGAGAATTGTTTTCTTCAGTTTCTTTCTTCAGTGATTTATAGTTTTCATTGTAGAAGTTTTACACTTCCTTCTTTAAATTTATTGCTAGGTATTTTAGTATTTTTGAGGCTATTGTAAATAGGATTGTTGTCCTGATTTCTTTCTCAATCTGTTTGTTGTTGGTATATAGAAAAGCCACTGTTTTTTGTATAGTGATGTTGTATCTTGCTACTTTACTCAAATTGTTTATGATATTTGAGTTTTTGTGGAATTTTTAGGGTCTTTTAGGTATAACATCAAGTCTACAAATAGGGATAATTTAACTTCTTCCCCATTTGAATACCTTTGATTTCTTCCTCTTGTCTTATTGCTCTGGCTAGGAATCCCAAAACTATTTTACATGAAAGTGGGGAGAGTGGACACTCTTGTCTCGTTCTTGACTTTAGCAGAAATGGTTTCAGTTTTTCCTTGTTTAGTATGACTTGGCTATGGGTTTGCCATATGTATGAGTTTGTTGTAAATATATTACGTTGAGATACATACCTTCTATTCCTGTTTTCTTGAGGGCTTAATCATGAAATGATGTTGAATTTTGTCAGTTTTTTTCTGCATCTATTGAGATGATCATATGATTTTTGTCCTTGATTCTGTTGATCATGTTGTATTACATTTATCAGTTTATGTATGTTGAACTATTCTTGCATCCCTGGAATGATGTATGATCATGGTGTGTGATCTTTTTGATGTGTTGTTTAATGTGGTTTGTCAGTGTTCTATTGAGAATTTTTTTATTGTTTTATTATTTATATGTGCATACAAGGCTTGGGTCATTTCTCCCCCTTGCCCCCATCCCCTCCTTTACCCTCCCGTTCCCTATTTCTCCCCCCCACCTCAGCAGAAACTATTTTGCCCTGATCTCTAATTTTGTTGAACAGAGAGTGTAAGCAATAATAGGAAGGAACAAGGGTTTTTGCTAGTTGAGATAAGGATAGTTATACAGGGAGTTGACTTGCGTTGATTGCCTGTGCATGTGTGTTACCTTCTAAGTTAATTCTTCCTTGAACTAACCTTTTCTCTAGTTCCTGGTCCCCTTCTCCTATTGGCCTCAGTTGCTTTAAAGTATCTGCTTTAGTTTCTCTGCATTGAGGGCAACAAATGCTATCTAGTTTTTTAGGTGTCTTACCTATCCTCATACCTCCCTTGTGTGCTCTCGATTTATCATGTGCTCAAAGTCGAATCCCCTTATTGTGTTTGCCCTTGATCTAATGTCCGCATATGTGGGAGAACATACGATTTTTGGTCTTTTGGGCCAGGCTAACCTCACTCAGAATGATGTTCTCCAATTCCATCCATTTACCAGCAAATGGTAACATTTCGTTCTTCTTCATGGCTGCATAAAATTCCATTGTGTATAGACACCAAATTTTCTTGATCCATTTGTCAGTGGTGGGGCATCTTGGCTGTTTCCATAACTTGGCTATTGTGAATAGTGCTGCAATAAACATGGGTGTGCAGGTGCCTCTGGAGTAACCTGTGTCACAGTCTTTTGGGTATATCCCCAAGAGTGGTATTGCTGGATCATATGGTAGATCAATGTTTAGCTTTTTAAGTAGCCTCCAAATTTTTTTCCAGAGTGGTTGTACTAGTTTCCATTCCCACCAACAGTGTAAGAGGGTTCCTTTTTCCCCCGCATCCTTGCCAACACCTGTTGTTGGTGGTGTTGCTAATGATGGCTATTCTAACAGGGGTGAGGTGGAATCTTAGTGTGGTTTTAATTTGCATTTCCTTTATGGCTAGAGATGGTGAGCATTTTCATGTGTTTTTTGGCCATTTGAATTTCTTCTTTTGAAAAATTTCTGTTTAGTTCACTTGCCCATTTCTTTATTTTGGGAGAATTTAGTTTTTTAAGTTCCCTATTTATTCTGGTTATCAGTCTTTTGCCTGATGTGTAGCTGTCTGATGAGCAGAAGCTTTTTAGTTTTATGAAGTCCCATTTATCTATGCTAGCTCTTAGTTGCTGTGCTGCTGGGGTTTCGTTGAGAAAGTTCTTACCTATACCTACTAATTCCAGAGTATTTCCTACTCTTTCCTGTATCAACTTTAGAGTTTGTGGTCTGATATTAAGATCCTTGATCCATTTTGAGTTAATATTGGTATAGGGTGATATACATGGATCTAGTTTCAGTTTTTTGCAGACTGCTAACCAGTTTTCCCAGCAGTTTTTGTTGAAGAGGCTGCTTTTCTCCATCATGTATTTTTAGTGCCTTTGTCAAAGACAAGTTGGTTATAGTTGTTTGGCTTCATATCTGGGTCCTCTGTTTTGTTCCACTGTTCTTCATGTCTGTTTTTGTGCCAGTACCATGCTGTTTTTATTTTTATTGCTTTGTAATATAGTTTGAAGTCGGGTATCGTGATACCTCCGACATTGTTCTTTTGACTGAGTATTGCCTTGGCTATTCGTGGCCTCTTATGTTTCCATATAAATTTAACGGTAGAATTTCAATTTCTTTGATGAATGTCATTGGAATTTTGATGGGAATTGCATTAAACATGTAGATTACTTTTGGGAGTATAGACATT